CGCTGGCCTGCGCCCTGGCGCTGCTGCTGGCGCTGCCCGCGGCCCGCGGCACCAGCGCCCCGCCGCGCGACGCCGACTTCGACCGCAGCTACCGCGACTGGGTCACCAGCGACACCATCAACATCTACGCCTTCAACCACACCGTGTCCCGCAACAGGGTGAGCTGCCCGGGCGGCCCCGCGCGCGGCGCCCGGCGCTGCCGCCCTCGGCGCTGCCTCCCGCCGTCCCGGCACGCTGGGGCACCCCCGCCGCGCTGCTGCGGCGCGTGCCCCTGTGCACACGGGTGGCCACCGGTGCCCTGCCCGGCACTGCGGCCGCCCCGCGCGGACACGTCCTTCCCAGCCGGCCGCCGCGCGCCGAGCAAGGTCCCGCGGCCAGCTTGAGCCGTGGGGCCCGTCCCCACGCCATGGGGCCCATCCCAACGCCGCGGGACTTGTCCCAACGCCGCGGGACTTGTCCCAACGCCACGGGGACCTGTCCCAACTCCACGGCCTTCCCCGCAGACGGAGGGCGTGCGCGTGTCGGTGAACGTCCTCTCGGAGCAAAACGACATGCCCGTGCTCTTCGTGGTGAGGCAGAAGGAGGCCGTGGTGTCCTTCCAGGTGCCGCTCGTGCTCCGCGGCCTGTGAGTATCCGCGGGGCGGCGGGTCGCCCGTGGGTGCCGGCACGCGCCAGGGTGCCGCACCGGAGCCTCCGGCCCGCTCTGCTCGCCCCCGCAGCTACCAGCGCAAGTACCGCTACCAGGACGTGAGCCGCACGCTGTGCCAGCCCCAGGCCAAGACGGAGCTGGAGACGCAGCACTTCTACGTGGACGTGTCCACGCTGTCGCCCCGCAACACCTCCTACCAGCTGCGGGTGACGCGCGTGGAGAACTTTGTGCTGCGGTGAGCGCCGCGGGCCCCGTGGCGAGCGCGGCGGGCGCCTCCGTGCGCTAGCGGCCGCCCTTCCCTCCCGCAGGACGGAGCAGCCCTTCAGCTTCAACGCCACGGCCGCCCAGCCGCAGGTGTGGGCGGGTGCGGGGCCGCGGCGCCGCTCGCCCCCGTGCCGCCCGTAATGCGCCCGTACCGCRCCCTTCCTCCCGCCAGTACTTCAAGTACGAGTTCCCCGAGGGAGTGGACTCGGTGATCGTGAAGGTGACCTCGGCCATGGCCTTCCCCTGCTCCGTCATCTCCATCCAGGACATCCTGGTACGGGGGCACCGGGGCCGCGCCGGCAGCCACGGGCGCGAGCGTCTCYGTGTGCCCCCGGGGGTGACAGGCTCCTGCCCCGCTGCCCGCAGTGCCCCGTCTACGACCTGGACAACAACGTGGCCTTCATCGGCATGTACCAGACCATGACGAAGAAGGCGGCCATCACGGTGCAGGTGGGCGCGCGCCGAGCTCGCCCATGGCCCGCGGGGCACGCCGGCCTCCGCTCACCCTCCTGCCCTCACGCAGAAGAAGGACTTCCCCAGCAACAGCTTCTACGTGGTGGTGGTGGTGAAGACRGAGGACGAGGCGTGCGGCGGGGCCCTGCCCTACTACCCCTTCTCCAAAGGTACCGGCGGCGCCGGGCGGTGCCGCGGGAGAGCGGCCACGTGGGCRCCGCGCGAGGGGCCGTCACTGCCCTCCTGCTCCCCCAGATGAACCCATGGATCAGGGCAACCGGCAGAAGACGCTGGAGGTGGTGGTGTCACCGGCCATCACGTGTAAGGCCGGCGGGAGGCGGCCGCGGGACGGTGCCGCCGCGCGGCGCCGGGCGCCTTCCTGAGCTCGCGGCGGCTCTCTGCGCAGCGGAGGCCTACGTGAGCAGCATGCTCTTCTGCCTGGGCATCTTCCTCTCCTTCTACATCATCACGCTGCTGCTCGCCTGCTGGGAGAACTGCCGGTGAGCTGCCGCGCGCCCCGCGTGCCGCGCTCCCGGCYGTGCCGCGGGCACTGCGGCTCTCACGCTCGCTCCCCCGGCAGGCAACAGCGCCGCAGGAAGGGGCTCCTGGCGGCCATGGACTCGCCCAGCCTGGACACGGGTGAGCGCTGCGCGCGCGGCCTTGGGGGGTGTGGGGGGTCCTGTGCCCTGCGCGGCCTCCTGCTCGCCCGAGCAGGCCCCTTGCTGCCGCCGCGKGGGGCCGCGGGCCTCGGGGTGGCGCGGGGCTGGGCAGGGCTGCCTCACCAAGTCCCCCTTGCTCTCTCTGCCCGGCGCTGCGGGACAGCGGCCCTACTGGGTAAGCAGCGGCCTTGGCCGCCTCCTGYGCGCCGCTGCCCGGGCCGGCTCGGGCCCCGGGGCGCGCGGGCCCTGCCGCCACCGCGGCGCTCAGGCCCCCCGTCTTGCAGGGCACAGCCGGAGCCTCCCCGACTCCTTCCTGGGACATGCCCCCTACGACGGCTGCGGCTACGGCTCCTTCGGTGAGTGCGGCAAGCGCCCTGCGCCGGCAGGACGCGGGCRCCCGGCACTCACCTGTGGCACCGTCCCGCAGAGAACGGCTCCAGCGCCAGCACCGAGGCCATCACGGACAGCATGGGCTCCGCGGAGGCCTCCTACGGCTACGCGGGTGAGTGCCGGGTGCTGCGAGCTGGCAGCGCTGTCGACAGCGCTGGCCTCCCCGATGACGTGGTGCCYGGGGCGCAGCACGGTGCCCGCGAGGAGCCCGCGCTGCCCTCGCCCTGCGCACCAGGGCTGCTCTTTGGGAGCACGGCGGCCGCTCCGGAGGGACCCACGCGGCCGCGGGGTGCASAGGCCCCGGGAAGCGCCCGGCGCGGGGCGCTGCGCCCGCACTGCCCCAGTAACTCTCGCTTTCCTTTGAAGGGCAGGAGCAGTTCAAGCGCCGCACGCCCGCCGCCCCGATGAGGCAGCTGTGCATTGCCATGGGTAGATGTGGGCGCTGCGCAGGGAGGGCTCCGATCACCGCAATCTGCCCTGCGCGGGCTTTGCTGCGGGCACGCGCCCAGCGCAGGGGCGCGCGGCGAAGCGGAGCCGCGCACGGCCGCGCAGCAAAGCCGCCGGCGGGGCCGCAATGTGCCCACGAGCCGCAGCGGGCGATCCGGGCATAATCCCGTGCTGATTGAGGACGTGTGGGGCGGGAGCGGACGAGGGCGACAGCGGTGGGTGGGAAGCGYGGGCCATGGCACCGCTGACGTCCCCGCGCGGCCCAGGGGACCGGTCGCTGGAGAACGTGGCCAGCCGGCCGCGCCTGGACTCGCTCAGCTCCGTGGAGGAGGACGACTACGACACGCTGGCCGACATCGACTACGACAAGAACGTCATCCGCACCAAGGTGCGTGCGCCGCGGGGGCCGCGCCGTGGCC